AACATTTCTACAACTTTAATATAAATACAATAAGAACAATTTACTTTAAAAATGATTTACATTTCAAAAATCTAACCTATATTTGTTACTTTGGTTTAAAGACTTGAAATGACTTGAAGCTTAAAGCAGACGACTTGGACTTGACTTGGATTTATGTGTCAGAGATTCGAGACTCAACTTGGACTTGTTTGTATTTGACTTGGGACTTGACTCGGACTTGAGGTCAAAGATTTGAGACTCACAAAACAGTGACTTGGTCCCGCCTCTGCTGCTACTACTACTACTACTACTACTACTACTACTACTACTACTACTACTACTACTACTACTACTATTACTACTACTACTAATACTACTACTAATACTAATACTAATACTACCACCACCAACATTTAGAAGCTTGTAGTAGAGAGTGCTAAAAGGCAGTAGTAGTAATATACTTTTTCTCCAAAACTCTGTTCCTCCGAGTCGACCTGAAGTGCGGTTTAACTCCCGAGTCCACCTTAAGTCGGGTCTGTCTCCTGATTCCACCTTAAATGGCTTGAGTTTCTGCAGCGCTGTGCCGCGTCGGCTCATTCACACAAAACTCAAACGTTTCAAATCAAATCTCAGGCCAAAAACACAAACAGACAAATCTGTGAGCGTCCAGAAACATTCAAGATTCAATTCAAACGCAACAGAAACATTTAAGATTCAATTCAAACGCAACAGAAACATTTAAGATTCAATTCAAACGCAACAGAAACATTTGGAGATTCCAGAATTTCAAGGAGAATAAATCGAGGCATTTTCATCCAAAAGTTTAAAATCTGAAAAAACATTTAAACCGAGGCTGGAAAAAAAGATTCTGTTTTCAAATGTTTACATTCATGGAAAATATTTGTTTGGAAGTAGTAGCAGCAGCAGCAGTACTAGTAGTAGTAGTAGTTTTAAAGTATAAGTTGTTTTGCAAATTGAGGTTTCAAAAGTACTTTGTACTTTTTTAAGTAACATTTTTACTGCATACATTCAAGTGGTAGTTTGGAGGTTTGGTGTAGTAGTTGTAGTAGTAACAGTAGTCACAGTAGCAATAGCAATAGCAATAGTAATAGTAATAGTAATAGTAGTAGTAGTAGTAGTAGTAGTAGTAGTTTTGCCAGTATTTGTACTTTGGTTTTCCTTGAGTATTTGTGAACGCTGCTGTTTTGTGTGAGTATTTAGCGTCTGTGTGCAGCAAGTGCTCATGGGAGTTGTAGTTTAAAAACAAAAGCGTCTTTTTCAGTCTCGGTTCAATCAATCTTTACATTTAAAACATTCTTTAAACACTTTGGGGACTTTTGTACAAAACTTTATCGATACAAAAACAAATACAAAACATTCATTTCGATTGTAACAGGCGCGAACACGGTAAAGCTAACGGTAAGGCTAACAGGCTAACAGGCTAACGGCGCTAACAGGCTAACAGGCTAACAGGCTAACGGCGCTAATGACTTTGGTTTGACTCTAAAATCTTTAAATCTATTTTTGTTTTTCAGGTGAAGTTGAAGAAAAGAGCAGTTTCAGTTTGGAGGTAGGAAATCCACTTCTGAGCACAAAATGAGAAAAAGATGAAAAAAAGGAAAATTATATATATATATTTTTTTTCAACATAAAATACAAATTCCGTTGAAATGAAAACAGACAAAACAGTGCAGATTTTAGCTTTAAACTCTGAAATTTGAAAAAAAAAAAAAAAAAAGCTAAAGTTACTATTAATTTTGCAACATTCTTTAAATAAAATGACACTTTTTTTCAGCAGGAAATTTCAGGATCAAAATTAAAATTAAAAATACAATCATTTTTGAGTCGCTTAAAATACACATATTCCAGTTAAATAAGGAGTAAAAAAGTACAAAATCAAATCTACTTTGAAAAGAAATAATGGCTGTAACTTTAAATATTTGTTATTTTTAAAGTAGATGATTAGTTTTGGTGTGATTTCCAGAGTCTAAAGAGTTGAACATGTTTAAGGCAGTCGGAGGTTTTTAAAGGGTTTGGATTTTTTTAAGGTGCAGATCTCAGATATTTGTGTGAGTTTCTTTGGTTTAAACAGTGAAGCGGCTTCATTCAGACACGTTCACTCACAATATCACTCACTATTCACTTTTGGTCTGGAAATTTCAATCAAAAATCAATTTAGTTTTGCTCGAATCTAAAAAAAAATCTGTCAAATTTGTTTTATTTTGTTGTTTTTTTTTTTTTCCAATGCAGCAACTTAAAGATTCACTGTGTCACTTTTCCCACGGACAGGCTCGTGTCACAGTACGGCATTAAACCTGTGTGTGTATCGCCATGGAGACGAGCAGGTGGCCCCACGAGGCGAAGTGACGGGTCAGATCTGTGCAGAGGCGAGTCTGCTCACCGTAAGACTGTTATGTTTTGTCAGTAGTAAAAGCACATTTGATTGAGTAAACACGAGATAGATCTGTTTAATGCCATATGACGGGACATTTCAGGCAAAGCTATAACATCTCCATGGAGACAAGCAGGCGAGTCAGGCGGTCAGATCTGCGGAGAGGCAAACCCGCTCACATTCTTCTTTTTTTTTTTTATTCTAGCGATATAAATAAATCTTCCTGTGATTGCATAAGTGGGCGATAGATGCGTTTAATGCCATACTGTGTAACATTCCAGGCATTCAACACCATCGCCATGGAGACGAGGCCACGTTACAGGTCAGATCTGTGGAGAGACGACCCAATCTTCATGAAGAATACCTGTTTTCCATGTATATTTTATATTTGTATATTATTTGTAATTGATTAAATGTTAGACAGATGTGATTAATTGCGTATTTTAAAGCAGCAGCATCACCATGGAGACGAGCAGGTGAGTTACAGGTCAGATCTGCGGAGAGGCAAACCCGCTCACATTATTAAGAAATGATTTTTTGTGTTTGTTTTAGCAAACTGAATCTCCCTGTGATTGAATAAGTGGGAGATAGACGTGTTTAATGCCGTACTGTGCAACATTCCAGCCAATTCAGCAACATCACCATGGAGACAAGGCCACGTTACAGGTCAGATCTGTGGAAAGACGAAACAACCTTCATGAAGAATACCTGTTTTTCGTAGTAATTTTTATATTTGTAATTGAATAAAAGTCAGACGGAGGTGATTAATTGCGTATTTTAAAGCAACAGCAGCATCTCCATGGAGACGAGCAGGTGCCAGACGCTCTACTGGAAAAGTCCCGCAGTGCATCTTTAAGTGAACCTCATGATATAATGAGTGATATTAATGAGAGCGTGAAAAAAACGGAGAGGAAGAGTGTGAGGCAGCAGGAGCTAAAGTGCACAGGGACCAACACTCGACACTAAAGACACACAGGGGCACTTTTCTCATCTCTAATGATCTAATGACGTCTTTCTACTCTAAACTCTTTCTACTCTAAAACACTCACACACCAAAGTTCAAGTGATGGAAATGCACCGGGATGACTGGACTCTCGTTTGGATCGTCAGGTTTAGTTTTTGTATTCAACTGCACATTTTTTTGTTTTGCTTTGGGTTCAGTCAGTAACAGAAATGATCAGCTTTTATATTTGGGAATTTACTTTTCCGATATTTCAAGGTAAAGTACAATGTGATTAAAAAAACAAAAAACTAAATCTGACTCTTGCCTCCATCTGGAAGTACGACATCGTCACATTCTAGAATCTGAAAACTACAAATCTTCAAATCCTGCTGCTTTAAACCTAAAAAGGACTCGATCTGATCTGAACCAGGACTAGGACTAAAGCAGAACTAAACCAGGACTATTTCAATGGGTCTAAGTTCTAGTCTCTACTAGTTTAGACCAGTTTGTACAATCCTGATTTGTCCTGGTCTAGTCTTGGTCTAGTCTTGGTCTAGTCTTGCTCTAGTCTTGCTCTAGTCTTGGTCTAGTCTTGCTCTAGTCTTGCTCTAGTCTTGCTCTAGTCTTGCTCTAGTCCTGCTCTAGTCCTGCTCTAGTCTTGGTCTAGTCTTGCTCTAGTCTTGCTTGCTCTAGTCTTGCTCTAGTCTTGCTCTAGTCTTGCTCTAGTCTAGTCTTGCTCTAGTCTTGCTCTAGTCTTGGTCTAGTCTTGCTCTAGTCTAGTCTTGCTGTCTCTAGTCTCTGTCTAGTCTCTAGTCTTGCTCTAGTCTTGCTCTAGTCTAGTCTTGCTGCTCTAGTCTTGGTCTAGTCTTAGTCTTGCTCTAGGTCTAGTCTAGTCTTGCTCTCTCTAATTTTGGTCTAGTCTTGGTCTAGTCTTGGTCTAGTCTTGCTCTAGTCTTGGTCTAGTCCTGCTCTAGTCCTGCTCTAGTCTTGGTCTAGTCTTGCTCTAATTTTGGTCTAGTCTTGGTCTAGTCTTGCTCTAGTCTTGCTCTAGTCTTGCTCTAGTCTTGCTCTAGTCCTGGTCTAGTCCTGGATCAGTTAAATGATTAAATTAAACTAAACAAACGGTTTTAAAATCAGTATTTAACGGGAGTTTTGGTCCAAGTCTCATTTCCATCACTTGTCTCCTTGTTTCCTAACTCGTGTCTCCTATGTCCTATGTCCTAGCTCCTTACTGAAGTGTCCTTAGGGGGAGTTCCTGGTCAGAGCTTTTGCACACGGCCCGCACCAGGTCGGCCTGAGGACACACACACACACACACACACACACATGCAGAGTGAGAGCGCCGTCCGCAGGTCAAAGCAGGAATTACACAGAGACACAAACAAGTGTAAATGTGCCGAAGTGAGTCAAAGAGAACGACAATAATTCAATAAAATAACAACAACAATAAGTGATGTTTTTCAGGGACATCACGCTGGGGGATTCTACATCAATCTGTACGGAAGCCGAGAGGCGTCACGACAAACGCACACGCCGCGACAAATACAAATGAGACAACACAACAAAAAGCCACAACACACCAAAAAAAGCCACAACGGAAATGAGCCCGGGACTCTATTTTAATGCAAACCCCACAACACAAATGCAAATGCCACAACACATTAAAAAGCCACAACACATTAAAAAGCCACGTTGCAGTTCTTCTTCACTTGCTGCTTGATCAGTCCGTTGGAAAATAGAGTCCCGCCGTCACTTCTGTTGTGGCTTTTGAATGTGTTGTGGCTTTTTTTGTTGTGTTGTGGCTTTTTAATGTGTTGTGGCTTTTTGATGTGTTGCGGCATTTGCATTTGTGGCTTTTTAATGTGTTGTGGCTTTTTGATGTGTTGTGGCTTTTTGATGTGTTGTGGCATTTTGATGTGTTGCGGCATTTGCATTTGTGGCTTTTTTATGTGTTGTGGCTTTTTAATGTGTTGTGGCATTTTGATGTGTTGTGGCTTTTTGATGTGTTGTGGCTTTTTAATGTGTTGCAGCTTTTTAACGTGTTGTGGCTTTTAAATGTGTTGCGGCTTTTTAACGTGTTGTGGCTTTTAAATGTGTTGTGGCTTTTTAACGTGTTGTGGCATTTTGATGTGTTGCGGCATTTGCGTTTGTGTTGTGGCGTTTTTATTTGTTGCGGCGTTTGCATTAAAATAGAGTCCCGCGGTCATTTCCGTTGTGGCTTTTTTTTGGTGTGTTGTGGCTTTTTGTTGTGTTGTGGCATTTGTATTTGTCGCGGCGTTTGCGTTTGTCGTGACGCCTCTCGGCTTCTGTAAATCTGTGTGTGTGAAACTAAACAGCTCCAGCATTAGAGCCGCTGAGGATTGTGGGACGTTTAACACTGACTCACTTTGGTCAAATACTCTTGGTTTTTAAAGGGTTTGAGCTTTAGAACAGTTTCATAAAAAAGTAACATTTCACAAACATTTCATAAACACATAAAAACATTTAAATGAAACAAATCCAGTGCGTTTTGTTTTGACAGTGTTTGACATCTTTAACCCGTCCAGTGATTTTCCCACAATCCTTTGGGGCGTGAGGCGTTCAAGGACACTTAAAGTCAGTCTGTAAAACCTGTGCTCAGTTTAGGTCCATGTCTGATTGAAAACAGTTTGAACAGCTCTAGAGGAGGGGCCTCGTAACTCTGAAGGCTTCATTTAGTCCTGGTTTAGTTCTAGTTTAGGTCTGAAAGTCCAAGTGCAGTCCTGATTTAGACCTGGTATAATGTTTACCAGGACCACACCAGGACTAAACCAGGACTAAACCAGGACTAAACCAGGACTAAACCAGGACTTTGTTCTCTCCTGGTTCAGTGCTGCTTTAAATCAAGTGATATTATCTTGAGTCGTCCTTGTTTGGTCTTGTTTAGTCCTGGTTTAGTCCTTATTTAGTCCTTTTAAATTGCACTTTTTAGGTCCTTAAAATTTAATAAATAACAGTTTAAAATAATCTTAAAATCTAAACTTGCTCCTTGAAACCCGTTTTAATCTGTGGTCTAAACCTGGTCTAAACCTGGTCTACATTTGGTCTAAACCTGGTCTACATTTGGTCTAAACCTGGTCTAAATTTGGTCTAAACCTGGTCTACCTGGTCTATTTGTCTAAACCTGGTCTAAACCTTTTGGTCTAAACCTGGTCTAAATTTGGTCTAAACCTGGTCCAGACCATCTCCTCTCGCCTAGTCCCTCCATATTTGGTTCCTGGTTTAGTCCTTGTTTTATCTCTGGTTTAGTCTGTGGTCCAGTCTGTGGTCCAGTCTGTGGTCCAGTCTGTGGTCCAGTCTGTGGTCCAGTCCTGGTCTAGACCCTCTCCTCTCGCCCGGTGCCTCCGTACTTGGCGGTGGGGCTGAAGCGGGGCAGCAGAGGAGTGAAGCTGCAGTAGTCTGTGAAGTCTCTATAGCGCCACCTGGTGAACATGACTTTCTTTTTGTCGCGTCCAGACCTGCTCCTCTGGTTCTGCTCCGGGAGACGGGGGGAGTCCGAGCCCGAGTTCGGCCCAGGACGGAGAGGGGAGAGCGGGGTGAAGTCCGGCAGGTGCCCCCGGTACAGACGCTCGGCGCTCTGGACGAAGAAGAAGAGACGCGGAGTTATTCCAGAAAAAAAACTAAAGACGAGACGAGACGGAGGTTTGTTTGTGTTCACAGCCGACGACAACGTCCTGACAATTCAGTTTTTACTCATTACTCATTTATTACTACTACTACTACTACTACTACTACTACTACTACTACTGCTAACTACTACTACTACTACTACTACTACTACTACTACTACTACTACTACTACTACTACTACTACTACTACTACTGCAACTACTACTACTACTACTACTACTACTACTACTACTACTACTACTACTACTACTACTACTACTGCTGCTGCTGCTACTACTACTACTACTACTACTACTACTACTACTACTACTGCTACTACTACTACTACTACTACTGCTGCTGCTGCTGCTACTACTACTACTACTACTACTACTGCTACTACTACTACTACTGCTACTACTACTACTGCTAACTACTACTACTACTACTACTACTACTACTACTACTACTACTACTGCTACTGCTGCTGCTGCTGCTACTACTACTACTACTACTACTACTACTACTACTACTACTACTACTGCTACTACTACTACTACTGCTACTACTACTACTACTGCTACTACTACTACTACTACTACTACTACTACTACTACTACTGCTACTACTACTAACTACTGCTACTACTACTACTGCTGCTACTACTACTACTACTACTACTACTACTACTACTACTACTACTACTACTACTGCTGCTGCTGCTGCTGCTGCTGCTACTACTACTACTACTACTACTACTACTACTACTACTACTACTACTACTACTACTACTACTACTGCTACTACTACTACTACTACTACTGCTACTACTGCTACTACTACTACTACTGCTACTGCAACTACTGCTACTACTACTACTCAAGTTTGAGTGTAATTTTGTATATTTTAGTTTAAATCTTTCATTGAATTTTAGTGTTTTAAATGTCTTAAATACAGGATATATTCTACTACTTCTACTTCTACTGCCGCTGTCCTTTCAGTTTGTGACTAAACCGTCGTTATTCTGATATTAAAAACTCGTCATTGAGCAGCTGTGAAAACAAAAACAAACCCAAAACAAACCGCAAAGCAACTGACACCTGTCCAACATGTCCAACATGTCCAACATGTCCAACATGTCCAACATGTCCAACATGTCCAACATGTCCAACACGTCCAACATGTCCAACATGTCCAACATGTCCAACATGTCCAACACGTCCAACACGTCCAACACGTCCAACACGTCCAACACGTCCAACATGTCCAACATGTCCAACATGTCCAACATGTCCAACATGTCCAACACGTCCAACACGTCCAACACGTCCAACACGTCCAACACGTCCAACATGTCCAACATGTGCAACACGTCCAACATGTCCAACATGTCCAACATGTCCAACATGTCCAACACGTCCAACATGTCCAACATGTCCAACATGTCCAACATGTCCAACATGTCCAACATGTCCAACATGTCCAACATGTCCAACATGTCCAACATGTCCAACATGTCCAACATGTCCAACATGTCCAACACGTCCAACACCCAACATGTCCAACATGTCCAACATGTCCAACATGTCCAACATGTCCAACATGTCCAACATGTCCAACATTCCAACACGCCAACATAAGTCCATGTCCATTCACTAAATCCCAACAGAAAAAAAATACAAAAAGTCTTCAGATTGAATCCATCATGATTCAGTAACTTGTTGCTGTAACTTTAACTCTTAATTAAGACGTTCATCTTAAATCGTGTCACACTATTGGTTCATTTTGATTATTAAATGTTGTATTATTGACTCTGACAGGTTTAAACCAAACACTGTTTCCTCGTCACAAACAGATCTGCAGTTGTGTTTTGTTTCATTCACATGTTTGAGTGACTCTTTATTATGAGTCTGTCTACATCTACAAACCTCCAAACGCTCTGTTCCACCTTGTGATGTCATCAAGTGGTAGTTTTTCAAGTTCCTTCACAGCTCCGTTTCCCTTTAGTTCAGTCGAGAGCAGTGTTGTGGAAGTAAAAAAGTAGTATTTGCTCATTACTTGATACTGTTTTAAAAAGTAATCCCTTATTTTACTTAGTTACCCACTATGGAAAGTCACTTTTTACGTTACTCTTTACTTCCAAATCCAAATTATTTCTACAGCACATTTTATAAACAAAGCAGTTTCCGAAGTGCTGCGCTAAAATTTGGTCACACCAGACAGTAACTTTTTGGTTTTAAACTCCATCTAAGGCTAAATACGGCACGAGACCGAAAGTCGACAAGAACTGTAAGAAAACTGAAAAGAACAATCGGCTCTGGGTCGACCGGGAAAGACTCGAGGTGAAGGTGGAACGACGCCCCGGCTGAGTGTACAAATAAGTAAGACTGCGTTGAATTGAAAAAGGAAATACATTTCATTACCAAATTTTCAGTAATGGCACAATACCCCCCAAAAATAGGTACGTTACTGTACGGTGTTACAAAGTTCACTGGTACAGATCGACAGCTGTAGGTCTGAAATGGTCCAGGTGATTCTAGTAAAGGTTTGAGAGAAGAAGATTTGTGTGTGAATGAAACAAAACACAACTCCAGCTCTGTTTATGTTGAGGAAACATCATTAGATCAAACTAAAACAGCGTCATATTGTCCCTTTAAGACTATTTAAGTTGCATTTGTTTTAAAGTTTTGATGATTATTTGTCTAAGTACATGGACTTTAACCCAGAACCCTGCGTCAGGTCCCATGCAGAACGACAGAAAAAACCACATGCAGCCACAGAAAAAAAAAAAGCAAAACTGTTAAAACTGAACCGTGAAAGTGCCTTTAAAGAGTTAGTCTGTGAACGTTCACAAACCCCACACCAAACGCACGCCTCACATCAAACAACCACCACCTTCTTTTACCGTCTTTAAGCTCGAGACGTGGCTACTCCGTCTAATAATGAGTCAGAGCTGCCATGTTCTCTCAAAACCAGATCTGAACCCTCTGTGTCTCGCTGAAAATCAAATGTTTACAATTTAAAACTCCAAAAAAAAAAGAGAAGAAAATAGAGCCTCAAATAACTGATTCATTATACAGATACAAAGACTCTGTTTTTCCCCATTATTAGAAGTAAAATGTTTCTTAAAGCTGCACTGTGTAACTTTTTCTGGTCTGTCACCTGCTTGTTTCTATGGAGACGTCACTGCTCTGCCTGGAATATTCCACAGTGTGACTTTAAACAGCTCCACTTTAAATTTATTCCTGGTCTAAACCTAGTGTAAACCTGGTCTAAACCTGGTCTAAATTTGGTCTAAAACTGGCCTAAACCTGGTCTAAACTTGGTCTAAACCTGGTCTAAATTTGGTCTAAACATGGTCTAAATTTGGTCTAAAACTGGCCTAAACCTGGTCTAAACTTGGTCTAAACCTGGTCTAAACCTGGTCTAAATTTGGTCTAAAACTGGTCTAAATTTGGTCTAAACGTGGTCTAAATTTGGTCTAAACCTGGTCTAAATTTGGTCTAAAACTGGCCTAAACCTGGTCTAAACTTGGTCTAAACCTGGTCTAAATTTGGTCTAAACCTGGTCTAAATTTGGCCTAAAATTGGTTTCTTAAAGCTGCACCGTGTAACTTTTTTTTTGGTCTGTCGCCTGCTCATTTCTATGGATACATCATTGCTCTGCCTGGAATATTCCACAGTGTGACTTTAAACAGCTCCACTTTACATGTATTTACTTCCAGGTGCAGGTTTTAGAGTCAAAAATCCCTAGAAAAACAAACACTTGTGACTGTGAGCGGAGTCGCCTCTCCACAGATCTGACCTGGAACTGCGCCTGCTTTGGTCTCCATGGAGAAAAGTTACACAGTGCACCTTTAAAGATGGGGAGAGTTCCTTTTATTGTGTTGAAAATTCTGTATTTACAGGTTTTCTTGGTTTCACTTTTGTTCTTTTTTCGCTTATTTAAAACTGACCTCAAAGTAAAAGTAAAAATAAGCGTCGAGTCGTTTTGTTTCAGTCGTCAGAAAAACTCAAGTTTTTTCACAAACTCAAAACACAAACTGGCACGAAGAACAAAAAACATATTAAATACAAATAAAACACAAAAACACAGTCAAATACTTTCACGAAGCTTCATGCAGCTCAGGCAAAACGAAAGAGAGTCACTCAAGGAAAAAGGACGTAGGAGACGAGGAGGTAGGGACTAGGGGGCAGGACACAATGGAGGAGGAGGTAGGAAACTAGGAGAATACTGCGGAGTAGGAGACAAGGCATTAGGAACTAGGAAGGAGGAGACTAAGGGGGTATGAGACTAGGCAAGACTAGGAGGTAGAAGACGAGGGATTAGTGACTAGGGGGAAGGACACAAGGACTAGTGAGTAGGACACTAGAGCTAGGAGACTAGGAGGTAGGTCAGAAAGCAGTAGAGGACTAGGGAGCAGGAGGCTGGGGACTAGGAGATGAGGGGCTAGGACACAGCATGAGCGAGGTAGGTGTTAGGGAGTAGAGGTAGGAGACGAGGACATAGGAGGTTAGGTTAGGAGGTAGGGATCACCTGAGGAGGTTAGAGGCTGAGTCTGCTGGAGGTCTGAGACGTCAGCATGAAAATGGTGGAAGGTTCAGAGGAGAGAGCGCGACGCTCACACTGAGAGGAGAGAAGGAGGGAGGAGAGGAGACAAGGAGGGAGGAGAGGAGAGAAGGAGGAGAGGAGAGAAGGAGGGAGGAGAGGAGAGAAGGAGGGAGGAGAGGAGAGAAGGAGGGAGGAGAGGAGAGGAGGAGAGAGGAGAGAGGAGGGGGAGAGAGAAGAGGAGGAGGAGAGGAGAGGAGAGGAGAGGAGGGAGAGAGAAGGAGGAGAGAGGAGGGAGGAGAGGAGAGAAGGAGGGAGGAGAGAGAGAGAGGAGGAGGGAGGGAGGAGGAGAGAGAGGAGGAGAGGAGGAGAGGAGAGAGGGAGGAGAGGAGGAGAGGAGGAGAGGAGGAGGAGAGGAGGAGAGAGGAGAGAAGAGGAGAGGAGGAGAGAGGAGAGGAGAGGAGGGAGGAGAGAAGAGAAGGAGGGAGGAGAGGGAGAAGGAGGGAGGAGAGGAGAGAAGGAGGGAGGAGAGGAGAGAGAGAGGAGGAGGAGAGAGGAGGAGAAGGAGGAGAGGGAGGAGAGAAGGAGGGAGGAGAGAAGAGAGGAGGGAGGAGAGAAGAGGGAGGAGAGAGGAGAGAAGAGGAGGAGAGAAGGAGGGAGGAGAAGAGAAGAGGAAGAGAGAGGAAGAAGAGAAGAGGAAGAGAGAAGAGAAGGAAAAGAAGAGGAGAGAAGGAGGGAAGAGAGAAGAGAAGGAAAAGAAGAGGAGAGAAGGAGGGAAGAGAGAAGAGAAGGAAAAGAAGAGGAGAGAAGGAGGGAAGAGAGAAGAGAAGGAAAAGAAGAGGAGAGAGCCGAGAGAAGGAGAGATGGAGGAAAGGAGCAGAACAGGAACAGGTCAGATTCACGCTCGAGAAACTGTTAAAAACTTCTTCAACTCTGTGGATTTGAACGTTAAAAAACATTAAAAACATTTGAGCCTCGTCAGGACAAAACCAGAACAAAAAAAGTTTAAATTAAAATGAGTTTAAAATCCACTTCCACTGCACACGAGCTCAGAGCTCAGAGCTCAGAGCTCAGAGCTCAGAGCTCAGAGCTCAGAGCTCAGAGCTCAGAGCTCAGAGCTCAGAGCTCAGAGCTCAGAGCTCAGAGCTCAGAGTTACTCACGTGAAGAAGAGGAGAGAACAAACCCAGACCACGACACGTCTGATAAACCACATCAAACACGGATTAAACCAGGACTAAACCAGCGGACTAAACCAGGACTAAACCAGGACTAAACCAGGACTAAACCAGGACTAAACCAGCACTAAACCAGGACTAAACCAAGACTATATTTGTTTTAAACGAAGACTGAAACCTGAGACTAAAAAAGCTTTGAACAAATCTAAACCCAAAGCAAAAACCTGTATTTAAAGCAGGACTGAACCAGAACTAAATCGGGACTCAACTTGGATCTAAACCAAGACTGCACTTGTTTTTAACCAGGACTAAAACCTGATACTAAAATAGGCTTTTAAGAAATCTAAACCCAGACCTGAACCAAGAACTAAACCAGGACTAAACAGAATAGTCCAACCCAGGATTAAACCAGAACTAAACCTGGACTAAAACTAACAAGAAAGAAAAATATAACAAGGTCTTAAAAAGATCTAACCCAGATCTCAAACCAGGACTAAACCAGGTCTTCCCCAGGTCCCCGGTCTCACCTGTATCTTCTCTGTGGTGGTGGGCCACAGCGCCCTCCACAGGACGGTCTTGGCCACATCAGGCACTAAACAGGCGGCGATGAGGAGAATAATACTGAGCCAGGCCGGACCACTGGACAACATCTGCATGAACACGTAGTACATGCGCTGGTAGTTCAGGAACGGCCTGAAGAACAAAACATCTGCATCAACGTCTGCAAGAACGTCTGCGTGAACATCTGCGTGAACGTCTGCAAGAACGTCTGAGTGAACATCTGCGTGAACACGTAGTACATGCGCTGGTAGTTCAGGAACGGCCTGAAGAACAAAACATCTGCATCAACGTCTGCAAGAACGTCTGCAAGAACATCTGAGTGAACATCTGCGTGAACGTCTAAGTGAACGTCTGCATCAACGTCTGCATCAACGTCTGCAAGAACGTCTAAATGAACGTCTGCGTGAACATCTGCGTGAACGTCTGCAAGAACGTCTGAGTGAACATCTAAGTGAACATCTGTCTGCAAGAACGTCTGAGTGAACATCTAAGTGAACGTCTGCATGAACGTCTGAAGTGAACATCTGCGTGAACGTCTAAGTGAACGTCTGCGTGAACATCTGAGTGAACATCTGCAAGAACGTCTGCGTGAACATCTGCATCAACGTCTGCAAGAACATCTGCGTGAACATCTGAGTGAACATCTAAGTGAACGTCTGCGTGAACGTCTGCGTGAACGTCTGCAAGAACGTCTGCGTGAACATCTAAGTGAACGTCTGCATGAACGTCTAAATGAACATCTGCGTGAACATCTGAGTGAACGTCTGCGTGAACGTCTGCATCAGCATCTGCAAGAACGTCTGAAGTGAACGTCTAAATGAACATTGCGAACGTCAGCGTGAAACAGCGTGAACGTGAACGTCTGCAAAACATCTGAGTGAACATCTAAGTGAACGTCTGCGTGAACATCTGAGTGAACGTCTGCGTGAACATCTGAGTGAACGTCTGCGTGAACAAATCTGAGAAGAACGTCTGCAGTGAACAAACATCTAAAAATGAACAAATCTAAGTGACTCTGAACTGAACCAGGACTAAACCAGGACTAAACCAGGACCTCCAACAGGACTAAACCCGGTCTGGACCCTGAAGTGTGATACTGACCAGATGATTCCTCCCCAGAGCAGAGAGAAGACGACGTAGAAGAGCAGAGATCCCCAGATCACAAAATGACTGATCCACGTCCAGTAGTGAGTGTCCAGCGCCAACTGACACACAGCAAACAAACACCAGTAAACCAGGTCTAAACCAGGACTAAACCAGGTCTAAACCAGGACTAAACCAGGTCTAAACCAGGACTAAACCAGGTCTAAACCAGGACTAAACCAGGTCTAAACTAAACCAGGACTAAACCAACTAAACCAGGACTAAACCAGGTCTAAACCAGGACTAAACCAGGTCTAAACCAGGTCTAAAACCAGGACTAAACCAGGTCTAAACCAGGTCTAAACCAGGACTAAACCAGGACTAAACCAGGTCTAAACCAGGACTAAACCAGGACTAAACCAGGACTAAACCAGGTCTAAAACCAGGTCTAAACAGGTCTAAACCAGGTCTAAACCAGGACTAGGACTAAACCAGGACTAAACCAGGACTAAACCAGGTCTAAACCAGGACTAAACCAGGACTAAACTAAACCAGGTCTAAACCAGGTCTAAACCAGGACTAAAACCAGGACTAAAACCAGGACTAAACCAGGACTAAACCAGGTCTAACCAGTAAACAGGACACTAAACCAGGTCTAAACCAGGTCTAAACCAGGTCTAAACCAGGACTAAACCAGGACTAAACCAGGACTAAACCAGGTCTAAACCAGAAACCAGGTCTAAACCAGGACTAAACCAGCACTAAACCAGCACTAAACAGGACTAAACCAGGTCTAAACCAGGACTAAACTAAACCAGGACTAGGACTAAACCAGGACTAAACCAGGTCTAAACCAGGACTAAACCAGGACTAAACCAGGACTAAACCAGGACTAAACCAGGACTAAACCAGGACTAAACCAGCTAAACTAAACCACCAGACTAAACCAGGACTAAACCAGGACTAAACCAGGTCTAAACCAGGACTAAACCAGGACTAAACCAGGACTAAACCAGGTCTAAACCAGGACTAAACCAGGACTAAACCAGGACTAAACCAGGACTAAACCAGGACTACTAAACCAGGACTAAACAGGTAAACCAGGACTAAACCAGGACTAAACCAGGACTAAACCAGGTCTAAACCAGGACTAAACCAGGTCTAAACCAGGACTAAACCAGGTAACCAGTAAACCAGGACTAAAACCAGGTCTAAACCAGGTCTAAACAGTAAACCAGGACTAAACCAGCACTAAACCAGGTAAAAACCAGGACTAAACCAGGTCTAAACCAGGTCTAAACCAGGACTAAACCAGGTCTAAACCAGGACTAAACCAGGACTAAACCAGGACTAAACCAGGACTAAACCAGGACTAAACCAGGTCTACTAAACCAGCCAGGACTAAACCAGGACTAAACCAGGACTAAACCAGGACTAAACCAGGTCTAAACCAGGACTAAACCAGGACTAAACCAGGACTAAACCAGGACTAAACCAGGACTAAACCAGGACTAAACCAGGACTAAACCAGGACTAAACCAGGACTAAACCAGACTAAACCAGGACTAAACCAGGTCTAAACCAGGACTAAACCAGGACTAAACCAGGACTAAACCAGGACTGGACTAAACCAGGACTAAACCAGGACTAAACCAGGACTAAAGCAGGACTAAACCAGGACTAAAACCAGGACTAAACCAGGACTAAACCAGGACTAAACCAGGACTAAACCAGGACTAAAACCAGGACTAAACCAGGACTAAACCCAGGACTAAACCAGGACTAGAAACCAGGACTAAACCAGGACTAAACCAGGACTAAACCAGGACTAAACCAGGACTAAACCAGGACTAAAACCAGGACTGAACCACAGACTTAAACCAGGACTAAACCAGGACTAAACCAGGACTAAACCAGTAAACCAGGACTGAAACCAGGACTAAACCAGGACTGAACCAGGACTGAACCAGGACTAAACCAGGACTGAACCACAGATTAAACCAGACCTAAACCTGGACCACATCAGGACTCAAACCTTCATAAGTTTAAACTTTTTACCTTAAAAGTGACGGTGAAAACCAGAATAGTAAAGACCAAAGTCCCAAAAGTCCAGTTTCCAAACATCTGAAAAAGATGACAAGATTAAAACATGAAATTAAAAGTCAAACTGTGAGAGTCCAGGAGATGGAAGGAAAACTAAAAATGAAAAACTAATCATATGAACATTTGATGAGGTTTTTATTCCAACACATTTTGTAAAGTGAATTTTTAAACTGGTGAATGAAACAAACTACAGGAGCAGAACCTCATCAAACCAGGACTAAACCAGGACTAAACCAGGACTAAACCAGGACTAAACCAGGACTGAACCAAGGACTAAACCAGGACTGAACCAGGACTAAACCAGGACTAAACCAGGACTAAACCAGGACTGAACCAAGGACTAAACCAGGACTGAACCAGGACTAAACCAGGACTAAACCAGGACCAGGACTGAACCAAGGACTAAACCAGGACTGAACCAGGACTAAACCCAGGACTAAACCAGGACTAAACCAGGACTAAACCAAGGACTGAACCAGGACTAAACCAGGACTAAACCAAGGACAGGACTGAACCAGGACTAAACCAGGACTAAACCAGGACTAAACCAAGGACTGAACCAGGACTGAACCAGGACTAAACCAGGACTGAAACCAGGACTAAACCCAGGACTAAACCAAGGACTGAACCAGGACTAAACCAGGACTAAACCAGGACTAAACCAGGACCCAGGACTGAACCAGGACTAAACAGGACTGGACAGGACTAAACCAGGACTAAACCAGGACTAAAAACCAAGGACTGAAACCAGGACTAAACCAGGACTAAAACCAGGACTAAACCAGGACTAAACCAGGACTAAACCAGGACTAAACCAGGACTAAACCACCCAGGACTAAAAGGACCAGGACTGAACCAGGACTAAACCAGGACTAAACCAGGACTAAACCAAGGACTGAACCAGGACTAAACCAGGACTAAACCAGGACTGGACTAAACCAAGGACTAAACCAGGACTAAACCAAGGACTGAACCAAGGACTGAACCAAGGACTAAACCAGGACTGAACCAAGGACTAAACCAAGGACTAAAGGACAACCAGTAGTAAACCAGAACTCAACCAAGACTGAACCAGGGACTAAAAGCAAGCAAACCAGGGCTAAACTTGGACTACGGACTCAGCGGGTACTAAACTAGAACTGAACCAGGACTGGACCAAGAGTAAGTAAACCAGGACTGAACCAGGTCTAAACCAGAACGAGATCTTCTTTAGGTCCATAATGAGGTGAGGAGTTTGATGTTAAAATGGAGGATGTTTAAGGGTTTTAGATTTACTAGAACCAGAATTAAACCAGAACTAAACCAAGAACTATGTGGAAGTGAACTGGGACTTAACCAGAACCGAACCAGGTCTATCTCAGGTCCAGAATGAGGTGAGGAGTTGTGAATGTGACGTTAAAATGGAGGATGGTTTTTGTTTTTCTCGTGTTTTTTGTTCTTACCATCTGTGTGTTGGACGTCATGAGCTGAGCAGGAAAAAGGAAAAAGTTTGAAACAGAAAAAGGCAGAAAAAAGAGAAAAATAAAGCCAAATTATATAAGAAAAAAGAAAACGTAAATAAATGAAACAGTGCAGAAATTTTAATTAAAGATATTAGGAAAGAGTTTCAGATCAGAGCTGCAAGTCTGGACTTTTGGGCTGTAAAAACATTTAACATTTTCAAATTTGTTTTTAGTTTGAACCAAAAAAAAAAAGTAAAACTGCGACTTTTTGCAGCTCTGATTTAAAGCAGAGACCACAGTAGAAACAGAGGGAATATTTGCCATGCTGAAGGAAGCAGGTTTACGTCAATAATCCTGGAGTTTTGTTTAAATCAGTTCAGTTAGAGAAACTTAAGATTCACTTTTTATCTGTGAAAAGTCCAACATCTAAATCCTTTGTTTTTATCTTAATTTTTAAAGATTATTTCATGAAACATTTTCTACCAGAGCAGCTCAAACTGTGTGTGAGTTTGTAGATAATTATTTTACGTTTTATTAATTGTAAACAATAAAATTGATCAAAAATGCCTTTGCACAGCAACAGTCTGACCCACTGTTATGGAAACCTGGACTAAACCAGGACTTCCCACCACCTAAACCAGGCCTAAACCAGATCTAAAAAAAAAGGGTCTAAACCAGGTCTAACGATCACCTAAATCAGGTCAAAAAAAGGGTCTAAACCAGGGTCCAAGTTGGGTCTTCTAAGTTGGATCTGAACCAGTACAAGAACAGGGTCTAAACTGTGGTCTAAACTGCGGTCTAAACTGCGGTCTAAACTGCGGTCTAAACTGCGGTCTAGACTGCGGTCTAGACTGCGGTCTAAACTGCGGTCTAGACTGCGGTCTAAACTGCGGTCTAGACTGCGGTCTAGACTGCGGTCTAGACTGCGGTCTAGACTGCGGTCTAGGGTGGTCTGGTCTGGTCTGGAGTCATACCTGTCCGTTGCTGGTGAAGGTGGTGTTGTCAAACAGGAAGTAGACTCCAAAGAACATGACCACAGCCTCGTACACGCCCAGAGCCGTCCAGTAGATGAACGTCGGCCATCTTAGTAAGGAGTTCTTCCCTATGTCCCTGTAACAAACAACACAGTCATGATGAACAAATATTCTAGAGCGGTCATGGGCGTCGGCCATCTTGGTAAGGAGTTCTTCCCGATAACAGACAGTACACTCTTTTGTTTTAGTGCTTTAGTAAAGTCAGATCCCCCGTGCGTCTGGGAGGGCATCAGGTGTAAGAGCAGCACCTGTAGAGTGTGGGGTCCTTCTTCAGCGTGTCCATGTTGATGTGCTGTTCGATGAGGCTGTAGGCCAGGATGGGCAGAGACGTGAAGCTGATGTTGTACAGGGTCAGATACGCCGTGTCGTACAAAGGCTGAAAATACACAAACAATCACAATGATGATTTAAACATGGACAAATAAAAGTGTAATGTTTATAGACAGAAGGGAGGAGTCACCTGTTGTGAGAATCCACAGAAAAACTGGTACAAAAACTGAGGGAAGATGAACACGACGTTCTGCAAAAACACAAAGTTTACATTTATTCACTTTTTACACCAAACATACAGTTTTTCTGTGTTTCTTAGCAGAATTTGGCCTAAAAGATACTTAAAAATTGACTAAAACAAGAAAACAGAAAGTACAAGAGTTTATGTTTAAGTCCTAGTCCCTGGTCTAGTCCTTGGTTTAGTTCATGTCTAGATCCAGAATAGTCACAAGTTAATTCTAAATAAACCATATTTAAGTCCTGGTCTAGTCGCTGGTCTAGTCCCTGTTCCAGTCCGTGGTCAAGTCTCCGGCCGAATCTCCGTTGAGTCACCGGTCCAGTCTCCGGTCAAGTCTCCGGTCTAGTCTCCGGTCTAGTCTCCGGTCTAGTCTCCGGTCTAGTCTCCGGTCTAGTCTCCGGTCTAGTCTCCGGTCTAGTCTCCGGTCTAGTCTCCGGTCTCAAGTCTCCGGTCAAGTCTTCGGTCTAGTCTCCGTCTAGTCTCCGGTCTAGTCTCCGGTCTAGTCTCCGGTCTAGTCTCCGGTCTAAGTCTCCGGTCTAGTCTCGGTCTAGTCTCCGGTCTAGTCTCCGTCGTCTCTAGTCTCCGTCTAGTCTTCAAGTCTCCGGTGTTTGTCTCCGGTCTAGTCTCCGGTCTAGTCTCCGGTCTAGTCTTGTCTCGGTCTAGTCTTGTATCTCCGGTCTAGTCTCCGGTCTAGTCTTGTCTAGTCTCCGGTCAGTCTCCGGTCTAGTCTCCGGTCAAGTCTCCGGTCTAGTCTCCGGTCTAGTCTCCGGTCTAGTCTCCGGTCAAGTCTCCGTCTTCTAGTCTCCGGTCTAGTCTCCGGTCAAGTCTCCGGTCTAGTCTCCGGTCTAGTCTCCGGTCTAGTCTTCTAGTCTCCGGTCTAGTCTCCGGTCTAGTCTCCGGTCCAGTCTCCGGTCTAGTCTCCGTCCAGTCTCCGGTCGAGTTTTCGGTTTAGTCCCTGGTCTAGTCCAGTCAGATGCCCTCCCTGCTCGTGTGTATTTGTACTTGTACTTGTACTTGTACTTGTACTTGTATTTGTTCTTGTTCTTGTATTTGTACTTGTGTTTGTACTTGTGTTTGTATTTGTATTTGTATTTGTACTTGTATTGTATTTGTACTTGTATTTGTACTTGTGTACTTGTATTTGTACTTGTACTTGTATTTGTACTTGTACTTGTATTTGTACTTGTATTTGTACTTCTTGTATTTGTATTTGTACTTGTACTTGTACTTGTACTTGTATTTGTACTTGTATTTGTACTTGTATTGTACTTGTATTTGTTCTTGTATTTGTTCTTGTATTTGTTCTTGTATTTGTTCTTGTATTTGTTTTTGTATTTGTATTTGTACTTGTACTTGTACTTGTATTTGTATTTGTACTTGTATTTGTACTTGTTCTTGTATTTGTTCTTGTATTTGTACTTGTATTTGTACTTGTATTTGTATTTGTTCTTGTATTTGTACTTTGTATTTGTATTTGTATTTGTATTTGTACTTGTACTTGTATTTGTTCTTGTATTTGTTCTTGTATTTGTACTTGTATTTGTACTTTGTATTTGTATTTGTTCTTGTATTTGTACTTGTATTTGTACTTGTATTGTACTTGTTCTTGTATTTGTATTTGTACTTGTATTTGTATTTGTATTTGTATTTGTATTTGTACTTGTATTTGTATTTGTTCTTGTATTTGTACTTGTATTTGTATTTGTATTTGTACTTGTGTTTGTACTTGTACTTGTATTTGTTCTTGTATTTGTACTTGTATTTGTACTTGTATTTGTATTTGTACTTGTATTTGTTCTTGTATTTGTATTTGTATTTGTACTTTGTACTTGTATTTGTACTTGTATTTGTACTTGTATTTGTACTTGTATTTGTACTTGTTTTTGTTCTTGTATTTGTTCTTGTATTTGTACTTGTGTTTGTACTTGTGTTTGTAGTTTGTATTTGTGACCTTGTAGAAAAAGTACTGCACGAGTTCAGATATTCGGATGTAGTAGTAGTGTCCGTGCACCAGGAGCAGTTTTTTCAGGTGTTTGAACTTGGGGATGGCGTAGTCGCTGTTCCTCATGGCCTGACGACCCTCTTTACCCATAATCCCTGTGGGCGGGAAAACAACAGAAATACAAATAAACACCACATGAAGGAGTAGTAGCAGTAGAAGTACTTGTTTGCAGTACTTGTTTGCAGTACTTGTTTGCAGTACTTGTTTGCAGTACTTGTTTGCAGTACTCACCGATGCCCACGTGAGCCTCCAGGATCATACTGACGTCGTTGGCTCCGTCTCCGATCGCCAAAGTGATGGGATGTTCTTTAGACGTTTTGATCAACTTCACGATCTGGAAAATACAGAATTAGTCCTGGTTTAGATCTGGTTTAGACCTGGTTTAGACCTGGTGTAGTCCTGGTTTAGACCTGGTTTAGTCCTGGTTTAGTCCTGGTTTAGTCCTGGATTAGACCTGGTTTAGACCTGGTTTAGACCTGGTTTAGACCTGGGTTTAGACCTGGTTAATCCTGGTTTAGTCCTGGTTTAGACCTGTTTAGTCCTGGTTTAGTCCTGGATTAGTCCTGGATTTAGACCTGGTTTAGACCTGGTTTAGACCTGGTGTAGTCCTGGTTTAGTCCTGGTTTTAGACCTGGTGTAGTCCTGGTTTAGTCCTGGTTTAGTCCTGGTTTAGTCCTGGTTTAGTCCTGGTTTAGACCTGGTTAATCCTGGTTTAGACCTGGTTTAGACCTGTTTTAGTCCTGGTTTAGACCTGGTTCAGTCCTGATTTCTAGTCTTTCTGGCCACAGTTCCTAATAGCTTCTTAGATTTAGCATTTTTGTTTAGTCCTTGGTTTTATCCTGGTCCAGTCCCTGGTCTAGTCCTGGGTCTAGTCCCTAGTCCTGGGTCTAGTCCTGATTTCTGGTCTTTCTGGCCACAGTTGCTTCATAGATTTTGCATTTTTGTTTAGTCCAGGTCTGGTCTAGTCCCTGGTCCAGTCCCTGGTCCAGTCCGTGGTCTAGTTTGTGGTCTTGTCCCTGGTCTAGTCCCTGGTCCAGTCCATGGTCTAGTTTGTGGTCTCGTCCCTGGTCTAATCCTGATTTTTAGTCTTTCTGGCCACAGTTCCTTAATAGATTTTTTGTGTTTTTGTTAAGTCCTTTGGTTAATTCTGGTCTAGTCCGTGGTCTAGTCCGTGGTCTAGTCCTGGTCTAGTCCGTGGTCCGGTCTCTGGTCCTGTCCCTGGTCCGGTTCCTGGTCCTGTCCCTGGTCTAGTCCTGATTTGTTGTCTTTATAGCCATAGTTTCTTCGTAGATTTTGTGTTTTTGTTTAGTCCTTCGTTTAATCCTGGTCTAGTCTCTGATCCAGTCCCTGGTCCTGTCCTTGGTCTAGTCCCTGGTCCAGTCCCGGTTCCTGGTCTGTGTGTCCTGAGTGGTTTGATAGATTTGGTGCTGTGTAAATGTCAGCGGCTGAAGCTCCCTGAGGTCTGTGAAGTGCTCTGCTCGTTTTTATCGATGGATCTGAAGTCTGAGGACAAAAATAAAACCCATTTCCACGTCAATATTTACAGCTCCAAAGATTCCACCGCTGGGAGGGCATCAGGGTCGATACACAGAGCAGAGACCTGGGGTTAGACCTGGGGTTAGACCTGGGGTTTGGACCTGGACCTGGGGTTTAGTCCTGGTCTGGTCTGGTCCCTGTTGGTTTTTGCTCTGGTCAAAATTAAAAACCTTTTCTACACAAATAATTTCTATATTCTATCCTCTAATATTCTAATTTCTACACAAAGAATTAAAGTCGCACTGTGTCACTTTTTCCGGTGAAGTGCCTGTCACCTGCTTGTTTCCATGGAGATGTTATTGCTTGGCCTAAAATATCCCGCAGTGTGGCTTTAAACTAACTCATGTTGCATTTATATATTTATCTTTTACTCAAAATATATTTTAAAACCCTGCGTCCTCCTCACCTCCACAGATCTGAGCTGTAACACGACCTGATGGGTTCAACTGTTCGTCTCCGTGGAGATGTACAGGTTAATGCCACACTGCGGAACATCCAGGCAAAGCAACAAGACGAATCCTCCAACTAAAAAGTTACACAGTGTATCTTAGAGAATCAGTATTTTAAAATAGTTTGGTTTAGTCCCTGGTCTAGTCTCTGGTCTGGTCTCTGGTCTTGTCTCTGGTCTTGGTCTCTGGTCTAGTCTCTGGTTGGTCTCTGGTCTGGTCTCTGGTCTAGTCTCTGGTTTTGGTCTCTGGTCTGGTCTCTGGTCTAGTCTCTGGTTTGGTCTCTGGTCTAGTCTCTGGTTTGGTCTCTGGTCTGGTCTCTGGTTTGGTCTCTGGTCTGGTCTCTGGTCTAGTCTCTGGTCTCTGGTCTCTGGTCTGGTCTCTGGTCTGGTCTCTGGTCTGGTCTCTGGTCTGGTCTCTGGTCTGGTCTCTGGTCTGGTCTCTGGTCTAGTCTCTGGTCTAGTCTCTGGTCTAGTCTCTGGTCTCTGGTCTCTGGTCTAGTCTCTGGTCTGGTCTCTGGTCTCTGGTCTGGTCTCTGGTCTGGTCTCTGGTCTCTGGTCTGGTCTCTGGTCTCTGGTCTCTGGTCTCTGGTCTCTGGTCTCTGGTCTGGTCTCTGGTCTGGTCTCTGGTCTGGTCTGGTCTCTGGTCTCTGGTCTAGTCTCTGGTCTAGTCTCTGGTCTAGTCTCTGGTCTGGTCTCTGGTCTAGTCTCTGGTCTGGTCTCTGGTCTCTGGTCTGGTCTCTGGTCTGGTCTCTGGTCTCTGGTCTGGTCTCTGGTCTGGTCTCTGGTCTGGTCTCTGGTCTCTGGTCTGGTCTGGTCTGGTCTGGTCTCTGGTCTCTGGTCTCTGGTCTCTGGTCTGGTCTCTGGTCTGGTCTGGTCTCTGGTCTCTGGTCTGGTCTCTGGTCTGGTCTCTGGTCTAGTCTCTGGTCTGGTCTCTGGTCTCTGGTCTCTAGTCTCTGGTCTGGTCTCTGGTCTGGTCTCTGGTCTGGTCTCTGGTCTGGTCTGGTCTCTGGTCTGGTCTCTGGTCTGGTCTCTGGTCTGGTCTGGTCTCTGGTCTCTGGTCTCTGGTCTCTGGTCTGGTCTCTGGTCTGGTCTCTGGTCTGTTTTTTTAGTAAACCCTGAACAAACCTGAGTCTACAGAGTGAGTTTTGGTCTAGTCCTGGTTTAGTTCAGTCCGTGATTCGTCTGTTTTTGTCCCTCTTTCTTTCTTTTCTTTTCTTTTCTTTCTTTTCTTTTCTTTTCTTTCCTTTCATTAACCTCCGCTGGTACCTGAGCTTTCTGCAGCGGCGCCATCCGGCAGCAGAGGACGGCGCTGCAGTTTCGACAGATCTCCAGAAAAATCTCTTTGTAGTTTCCGGAGTTGGAGTCTTCCTGAGCAGGTCTGAGCACCGCAGACAGAGTCGCTCCGTCGATGATCAAACCGAAGTCTGCGAAGTCTCCGTAGTCTGAAGACAACCTGAAGAAGAAGACGAGGAGAGGAGGAGGAACAGATGAGACGAAGAAGAGGAGGAGAGAGAGCTGCTCCATCTAACATCAGGCCAAAGTCTGAGGACAACCTGAAGGAAAGAGGAGACAGGAGGAGGATGAAGGGAGGAGAGAGGAAGAGGAGAAGAGGGTCAGGATAAAGAAGAGGAAGAAGAGGGGGAGAGGAGGAAGAAGGGAGCAGAGGAAGGAGAGAGAAGGAGAGAGGAAGAAGAGAGAGGAGAGAGGAAGAAGAGAGGAGAGAGAGAGGAAGAAGAGAGGAGAGAGGAAGGAGAGAGGAGAGAAGGAGAGGAGGGAGTGAGGAGGGAGAGAGGAGAGAGGAAGAAGAGAGAAGGAAGAGAGGAGGGAGAGAGGAAGGAGAGAGGAGAGGAGAGGAGAGAGAGAAGGAGAGATGAGGAGGAGAGAGGAGAGGAGAAAGGAAAGAGAGGAGAGATGAAGGAGAGAAGAAGGAGAGAGGAGGGAAAGAGGAAAGAGATGAGGAAGGAGAGAGGAAGGGGAGAGAGGAAGGAGAGAGAGGAAGGAGAGAAGAGAGAAGGAGAGGGGAAGGAGAGAGGAAGGAGAGAAGGAGAGAGGAAGGGGAAAGAGGAAGGAGAGAGAGGAGAGGAGAGAGGAAGGGAGCGAGGAGGAAGGAGAGAGAGAAGGAGAGAGAGGAAGGAGAGAGGAGAGGGGAGCGAGGAAGGAGAGAGGAAGGAGAGAGGAGGGAGAGAGGAAGGAGAGGAAGAGAGGAGGAGAGAGGAAGAGAAGGAGAGAGGAGAGAGGGGAAGAGAGGAAGGAAGGAAGAGGAAGAGAGAGAGAGGAAGGAGAGACAGGAAGGAGCGGAGGGAGAGAGGAAGGAGAGAAGAAGGAGAGAGGAAAGAAGGAGAGAGGAGAGAGGGAGAGAGAGGGAGGAGAGAGGGAGGAGGGAGGAGCAGAGCTTCTGAGGTTCTGACCCGGAGAAGGTGTCTCTGGTGAGGGTTCCCTGGTGCCTGAGCACAGTTCTGCTGAGGTCAAAGAGCACGTCGTGGAGCCGCTGCTCCTCCGTCCTCTTGGTGGTGAGCTCCAGGATCTGGGTGCTGCGCCGGAACAGTTTGGAGGCGTAACACGTGGCGGCCGCCGTCTCCATTTTGTCTCCCGTCAGCACCCAGACCTTCATCCCGGCTTTGTGCAGAGACTCGATGGTGTCGGCCGCTTTCTCCTGCAGCCTGAACAAAACAACAACAACGACTGTTTAAAGACACAACACGGAACATTTACGATGAAGACGCAAGTACGACAGAAGAGATCATCAAAATAAACTGTTCTGTTCTATGTTTTTATATTGTCCCTGTTCTGTTTTACATCCAGAAACCACCTGTCCCCTCCCCCTGATCTCACCTGTCCCCTCCCCTCCCCCTGGTCTCACCTGTCCCCTCCCTCTAGACTCACCTGTCCCCTCCCCCTGGTCTCACCTGTCCCCTCCCCCTGGCCTCACCTGTCCCCTCCCCCCTGGCCTCACCTGTCCCCTGGTCTCACCTGTCCCCTGGTCTCACCTGTCCCCTGGTCTCACCTGTCCCCTCCCCCTGGTCTCACCTGTCCTCCACGGCGGTGGCTCCCAGCAGGATGAGTTCGGTCTCGATCTTGTCGTAGGCTTCGGCGAGTCTCTTGTCTCGATCCTGAAGAGCCAAACGAGCCTCGGCCAAAAGAGCCACGACCTCCGAGAACTGCTCCGACGAGAGCCTCCGGTACGCCACGCACAAGGTACGAAGCCCCTCCTACAACAGACACACCAGACTGAACCAGAGCCACGCACAAGGTACGAAGCCCCTCCTACAACAGACACACCAGACTGAACCAGAGCCACGCACAAGGTACGAAGCCCCTCCTACAACAGACACACCAGACTGAACCAGAGCCACGCACAAGGTACGAAGCCCCTCCTACAACAGACACACCAGACTGAACCAGAGCCACGCACAAGGTACGAAGCCCCTCCTACAACAGACACACCAGACTGAACCAGAGCCACGCACAAGGTACGAAGCCCCTCCTACAACAGACACACCAGACTGAACCAGAACTGAACCAGGACTAAACCAGGACTAAACCAGGACTGAACCAGGACTGAACCAGGACTACACCAGGACTACACCAGGACTAAAACAGGACTGAACCAGTACTAAAACAGGACTAAACCAGGACTACACCAGGACTAAAACAGGACTGAACCAGTACTAAAACAGGACTATACCAGGACTGAACCAGGACTAAAACAGACTACACCAGACTGAACCAGGACTAAAACAGGACTGAAACCAGGACTAAAACAGGACTGAACCAGGACTAAACCAGGACTAAACCAGGACTCACCACGGCGTTGCGTTCGACTCTGGCCTGGACTTCCTCTTTTTTCCCTGCGACCACACGAGGAAATATAGACGAGTCTGCTCCTTTACAGAACAAGAACAACTCCCCTGGAAACAAACAAACACAGTTCAGATGAATCGACCAAAGACTTGTTCTTCTACAACAGATCGATTAAAGACACTTTTGTTTGTATTTTTACCGGACGAGGCTCTGACGATGACGCTCATTCTTCGTCGGACCGAGTCAAACGTCAGGACTTCCAAAAGCTCAAACCTGAAACACACAAACGGCTTGAAACATAAACTAGGACTAAACCAGAACTAAACTAAACCAGGACTAAACCAAGAAGTAAACAGTGACTAAATCAGCTCTAAACCAATGACTACATCAGTGATTAAACCAGGACTAAACCAGGTGTAAACCTTAAATCAGGTGCATTCCACAGACCTCTCGATCTGGTCGTCTCTGTTGAGGATTTCCATGTGACTGTCTTTGAGCCTCAGGTACGTGAACCCCAGTCTGAAACACAACAGTTCACAGGTTTCATCACCGACATTTCAGATCTTCTCCACAGTCAGAGTCTGTGTGTCTGATTTCCCCGTGAGTTTGAGTCAAATGTACAAGATCTGTAGTATAAGAAGCTCTCGAGGTCAAAATAAGTCCACAGTAAGTTTATTCTCTGTATCTAATTATAAAACCAAGTTGGCAAGACTCTGGTCTGTGAAAGTGAAAAGCTCCAATAAACTCATGTTGACAATGAACTCCTTCTATTTTTCATGTTTTTAAAACAGTCAAACTCAGACACAGAGACTTTAAAACTGGATGTTTTGAATTTTGTTTCTACAGACTTTGGTACATAATTTATCATGTCCAAAATCAGATCTAAACCAGGACTAGACCAGGACTAAACAAGGGACTATATCAGGATTTTACCAGGACTAGACCAGGATAAAATCATGTCTAAAGTCAGATCTAAACAAGGACTAGTCAAGGTCTAAACCAGGTCTAAACCAGGTCTAAACCAGGTCTAAAGGTCTAAACCAGGACTATACCAGGATAAAATCATGTCTAAATTAAGATCTAAACCAGGACTAAGCTAAGACTAAACCAGGGACTAAACCCAGCACTAAACCAGGTCTAAACCAGGTCTAAACCAGGTCTAAACCAGGACTACACCAGGTCTAAATCAGGACTTGAGTTGGTCCGTACTTCTTCATGCCCTCGACCAGCGCGACCTCGTCTGGGGAGGAGGAGATGTAGAAGGACGAGGACTTTCCCCTGATGACGTCCGTGTTTGATCCCGTCCACGGTCTCCTCCTCCTTCACCTGCACCGTGTGACAGAGACACAGAGCGCGGAAGAACAGCTCCTCCACGTCCTGAAACAACCAGACCACACAGTGAGATCCTCTGACCCTCTGACCCTCCTCTGACCCTCTGACCCCTCTGACCCTCCTCTGACCCTCTGACCCTCCTGACCCTCCTGACCCTCCTGCACCGTGTGACAGAGACACAGAGCGCGGAAGAACAGCTCCTCCACGTCCTGAAACAACCAGACCACACAGTGAGATCCTCTGACCCTCTGACCCTCCTCTGACCCTCTGACCCTCCTCTGACCCTCCTCTGACCCTCTGACCCTCCTCTGACCCTCTGACCCTCCTGCACCGTGTGACAGAGACACAGAGCGCGGAAGAACAGCTCCTCCACGTCCTGAAACAACCAGACCACACGTGAGATCCTCTGACCCTCTGACCCTCCTCTGACCCTCTGACCGCCTCTGACCCTCCTCTGACCCTCTGACTCTCCTCTGACCCTCCTCTGACCCTCTGACCCTCTCTGACCCTCTGACCTCCTCTGACCTCTGACCTCCTCTGACCCTCCTCTTACCCTCTGACTCTCCTCTGACCCTCTGACCCTCCTCTGACCCTCTGCTCCTCCTGCACCGTGTGACAGAGACACAGAGCGCGGAAGAACATCTCCTCCACGTCCTGAAACCAACAGAACACACGTGAGATCCTCTGACCCTCTGACCCTCCTCTGACCCTCCTCTGACCCTCCTCTGACCCTCCTCTGACCCTCTGACCCTCCTCTGACCCTCTGCTCCTCCTGCACCGTGTGACAGAGACACAGAGCGCGGAAGAACATCTCCTCCACGTCCTGAAACCAACAGAACACACGTGAGATCCTCTGACCCTCCTCTGACCCTCTGACCCTCCTCTGACCCTCCTCTGACCCTCCTGACCCTCTGACCCTCTGACCCTCTCTGACCCTCTGCTCCTCCTGCACCGTGTGACAGAGACACAGAGCGCGGAAGAACAGCTCCTCCACGTCCTGAAACAACCAGACCACACAGTGAGATCCTCTGACCCTCTGACCCTCCTCTGACCCTCCTCTGACCCTCCTCTGACTCTCCTCTGACCCTCTGACCCTCCTCTTACCCTCTGACTCTCCTCTGACCCTCCTACCCTCCTCTGACTCTCTGACCCTCCTGCACCGTGTGACAGAGACACAGAGCGCGGAAGAACAGCTCCTCCACGTCCTGAAACAACCAGACCACACAGTGAGATCCTCTGACCCTCTGACCCTCCTCTGACCCTCTGACCCTCCTCTGACCCTCCTCTGACCCTCTGACTCTCCTCTGACCCTCTCTGACCCTCTGACCCTCCTCTGACCCTCTGACCCTCCTCTGACCCTCTGACTCTCCTCTGACCCTCCTCTGACCCTCTGACTCTCCTCTGACCCTCTGACCCTCCTCTGACCCTCTGCTCCTCCTGCACCGTGTGACAGAGACACAGAGCGCGGAAGAACATCTCCTCCACGTCCTGAAACCAACAGAACACACGTGAGATCCTCTGACCCTCCTCTGACCCTCTGACCCTCCTCTGACCCTCCTCTGACCCTCCTCTGACCCTCTGACCCTCCTCTGACCCTCTGCTCCTCCTGCACCGTGTGACAGAGACACAGAGCGCGAAGAACAGCTCCTCCACGTCCTGAAACAACCAGACCACACAGTGAGATCCTCTGACCCTCTGACCCTCTCTGACCCTCTGACCCTCTGACCTCCTCTGACCCTCTGACCCTCCTCTGACCCTCTGACCCTCCTCTGACCCTCCTCTGACCCTCCTGACTCCTCCCTCTGACCCTCTGACCCTCTCCTCTGACCCTCTGACCCTCTCCCCTCTGACCCTCCTCTGACCCTCCTCTGACCCTCCCTCTGACCCTCCTCTGACCCTCTCCTCTGACCCTCCTCTGACCCTCCTCCTCTGACCCCCCTCTGACCCTCTGACCCTCCTCTGACCCTCCTCTGACCCTCTGACTCTCCTCTGACCCTCTGACCCTCCTCTGACCTCCTCTGACCCTCTGACCCTCCCTCTGACCCTCTGATTCTCTGACCTTCTGCTTCTCTGACCCTCTCCTCCTCTGACCCTCTGCTCTTCTCAGTTTTCATATAATACAGTATTTTCTTGTATGTTCTTGTATTTTTCTTGTATGTTCTTGTATTTTCTTGTATGTTCTTGTATTTTTCTTGTATGTTCTTGTATTCTTCTTGTATTTTTCTTGTATGTTCTTGTATGTTCTTGTATTTTTCTTGTATGTTCTTGTATTTTTCTTGTATGTTCTTGTATTCTTCTTGTATTTTTCTTGTATGTTCTTGTATGTTCTTGTATTTTTCTTGTATGTTCTTGTATTTTTCTTGTATGTTCTTGTATTTTTCTTGTATGTTCTTGTATGTTCTTGTATTTTTCTTGTATGTTCTTGTATTTTCTTGTATTTTTCTTGTATGTTCTTGTATGTTCTTGTATTTTCTTGTATGTTCTTGTATGTTCTTGTATGTTCTTGTATTTTTCTTGTATTTTCTTGTATGTTCTTGTATGTTCTTGTATTTTTCTTGTATGTTCTTGTATTTTTCTTGTATGTTCTTGTATGTTCTTGTATGTTTTTCTTGTATGTTCTTGTATGTTCTTGTATGTTCTTGTATTTTTCTTGTATGTTCTTGTATTTCTTGTATTTTTCTTGTATGTTCTTGTATGTTCTTGTATTTTCTTGTATTTTTTGTATCTTTCTTGTTATGTTCTTGTATTTTTCTTGTATTTTTCTTGTATGTTCTTGTATGTTCTTGTATTTTTCTGTATGTTCTTGTATGTTCTTGTATTTTTTCTTGTATGTTCTTGTATATTCTTGTATGTTTCTGTATGTTCTTGTATGTTCTTGTATTTTTCTTGTATGTTCTTGTATGTTCTTGTATGTTCTTGTATGTTCTTGTATGTCTTGTATTTTTCTTGTATGTTCTTGTATGTTCTTGTATTTTTCTTGTATTTTTCTTGTATGTTCTTGTATGTTCTTGTATTTTTCTTGTATGTTCTTGTATTTTTCTTGTATGTTCTTGTATGTTCTTGTATTTTTCTTGTATGTTCTTGTATTGTTCTTGTATGTTCTTGTATTTTTCTTGTATGTTCTTGTATTTTTCTTGTATTTTCTTGTATGTATGTTCTTGTATGTTCTTGTATTTTTCTTGTATGTTCTTGTATTTTTCTTGTATGTTCTTGTATGTTCTTGTATGTTCTTGTATGTTCTTGTATTTGTTCTTGTTGTATTTTTCTTGTATGTTTTGTTCTTGTATGTTCTTGTATGTTCTTGTATTTTCTTGTATGTTCTTGTATTTTTTTATTGTTCTTGTATGTTCTTGTATTTTTCTTGTATGTTCTCTTGTATTTCTTGTATGTTCTTGTATGTTCTCTTGTATGTTCTCTTGTATGTTCTTGTATGTTCTCTTGTATGTTCTCTTGTATGTTCTTGTATGTTCTTGTATGTTCTTGTATGTTCTTGTATGTTCTTGTATGTTTTCTTGTATGTTCTTGTATGTTCTTGTATGTTCTTGTATGTTTCTTATGTTCTTGTTTTTCTTGTATGTTCTTGTATTTTTCTTGTATGTTCTTGTATTTTTCTTGTATGTTCTTGTATTTTTTCTTGTATGTTCCTTGTATGTTCTTGTATTTTTCTTGTATTGTTCTTGTATGTTCTTGTATGTTCTTGTATGTTCTTGTCTTACTCTGGAGTCTGGTCCTGGTGAAGTGTCGATCATGTCCATCCCGGCTCCTGACATCACCTGAAAACAAAAACAATCAACACGTAAAAATAAAAACAATACAACAGTTCACATTATCAAGAAAAAGTTCAGATTTTGATGCTTGAAGTCCAACAGATATTTAAATGGTAAAGGAATAACGAATAAACAGTCCTCATAGTATTTGTAGTACTTGTACCTGTCCGTTGCAGATGGCGTGTGGCAGTAGTAGCAGTAGTATTTGCAGTAGTAGTAGTAGTAGTAGTAGTAGTAGTAGTAGTAGTAGTAGTACTTGTACCTGTCCGTTGCAGATGGCGTGTGGCAGTAGTAGCAGTAGTATTTGCAGTAGTAGTAGTAGTAGTAGTAGTAGTAGTAGTAGTACTTGTACCTGTCCGTTGCAGATGGCGTGTGGGACATAAACACTTCCTCCGATGCAGCACTCGATAAACTCCATGTTGTTTTCTGTTAAAGTCCCAGTTTTATCTGTGAACACGTACTCCACCTGAAACCAGACCAGACCGGGTTTAGACCAGACCAGACCAGACCGGACCAGACCGAGTTTAGACAAGACCACACCGGACCGGACCAAACCGGAGTTTAGACCAGACCGGACCAGACCAGGGTTTAGACCGGGTTTAGACCAGGTTTAGACCAGATTTAGACCAGGTTGAGACCAGGTTTAGACCAGGTTTAGACCAGGTTTAGACCAGGTTAAGACCGGGTTTAGACCGGGTTTAGACCAGGTTAAGACTGGGTTTACACCGGGTATGCACCGGGTTGAGATCAGGTTGAGACCAGATTTAGACCAGATTTAGACCAGATTTAGACCAGGTTGAGACCAGGTTTAGACCTGGGTTTAGATCGGGTTAATAGTAGTAGTATTGTGCAGTACCTGTCCCAGTTCTTCACTGAGGTCAGATATAGTATTTGCAGTAGTATTTGCAGTAGTATTTGCAGTAGTATTTGCAGTAGTATTTGTAGTAGTATTTGCAGTAGTATTTGCAGTAGTATTTGTAGTAGTATTTGCAGTAGTATTTGCAGTAGTATTTGCAGTAGTATTTGCAGTAGTATTTGCAGTATTTGTAGTAGTATTTTTGCAGTAGTATTTTGCAGTAGTATTTGTAGTAGTCTTTGCAGTAGTATTTTGTAGTAGTATTTGCAGTAGTATTTTGCAGTAGTATTTGTATTTGCAGTAGTATTTGCAGTAGTATTTGCAGTAGTATTTGTACCTGTCCCAGTTCTTCGTTGAGGTCAGATATAGTAGTATTTGCAGTAGTATTTGCAGTAGTATTTGCAGTAGTATTTGCAGTAGTATTTGCAGTAGTATTTGTAGTAGTATTTGCAGTAGTATTTGTAGTAGTATTTGCAGTAGTATTTGCAGTAGTATTTGTAGTAGTCTTTGCAGTAGTATTTGCAGTAGTATTTGCAGTAGAATTTGTAGTAGTATTTGCAGTAGTATTTGCAGTAGTATTTGCAGTAGTATTTGCAGTATTTGTACCTGTCCCAGTTCTTCGTTGAGGTCAGATATAGTAGTAGTAGTAGTATTTGCAGTAGTATTTGCAGCAGTATTTGTAGTAGTATTTGCAGTAGTATTTGCAGTAGTATTTGCAGTAGTATTTGTAGTAGTATTTGCAGTAGTATTTGTAGTAGTATTTGCAGTAGTATTTGCAGTAGTATTTGCAGTATTTGTACCTGTCCCAGTTCTTCGTTGAGGTCAGATATAGTAGTAGTAGTAGTATTTGCAGTAGTATTTGCAGTATTTGTACCTGTCCCAGTTCTTCGTTGAGGTCAGATATAGTAGTAGTATTTGCAGTAGTATTTGCAGTATTTGTACCTGTCCCAGTTCTTCGTTGAGGTCAGATATAGTAGTAGTATTTGCAGTAGTATTTGCAGTAGTATTTGCAGTATTTGTACCTGTCCCAGTTCTTCGTTGAGGTCAGATATAGTAGTAGTAGTAGTAGTATTGCAGTAGTATTTTGCAGTATTTGTGTACCTGTCCCAGTTCTTCGTTGAGGTCAGATATAGTAGTAGTAGTAGTATTTGCAGTAGTATTTGCAGTAGTTGTACCTGTCCCAGTTCTTCGTTGAGGTCAGATATAGTAGTAGTAGTAGTATTTGCAGTAGTATTTGCAGTAGTATTTTGTACCTGTCCCAGTTCTTCGTTGAGGTCAGATATAGTAGTAGTAGTAGTATTTGCAGTAGTATTTGCAGTAGTATTTGTACCTGTCCCAGTTCTTCGTTGAGGTCAGATATAGTAGTAGTAGTAGTATTTGCAGTAGTATTTGCAGTATTTGTACCTGTCCCAGTTCTTCGTTGAGGTCAGATATAGTAGTAGTAGTAGTATTTGCAGTAGTATTTGCAGTATTTGTACCTGTCCCAGTTCTTCGTTGAGGTCAGATATAGTAGTAGTAGTTAGTATTTGCAGTAGTATTTGCAGTAGTATTTGTACCTGTCCCAGTTCTTCGTTGAGGTCAGATATAGTAGTAGTAGTAGTATTTGCAGTAGTATTTGTACCTGTCCCAGTTCTTCGTTGAGGTCAGATATAGTAGTAGTAGTAGTATTTTGCAGTAGTATTTGCAGTAGTATTTGTACCTGTCCCAGTTTCTTCGTTGAGGTCAGATATAGTAGTAGTAGTAGTATTTGCAGTAGTATTTGCAGTAGTAATTTGTACCTGTCCCAGTTCTTCGTTGAGGTCAGATATAGTAGTAGTAGTAGTAGTATTTGCAGTAGTATTTGTACCTGTCCCAGTTCTTCG